GAGCTCGCGGAGGTCAAGGCGGCGCTCGCCGCGGACCGCGAGGCCGCGGTCGCGGGCGCCCTGGACGACGGCGAGAACGCGCTCGCGCGGGAGCGCGCGCGGCACGTTGCGGCGCTCGACGCGGCCCTGCTGGACCAGGAGTCGCGGCTCCTCGAGGAGCACGACGCGCGCACCGCGTCCGCGACCGCGGCGGCGCTCGAAGACCAGGCGGCGCGGCTCCGCGAGGCGCACGACGCCGAGGTCGCCGCGCAGCGCGAGGCGCGCGACGCCGAGGTCGCCGCGCGCCGCGAGGCGCACGCCGCGGCGCTCGACGACGCGGGCGCGACCGCCGCGGCCGCGGAGCGGCGGCGGAGCGCGGACGCGGCGACGGCCCACGCCGCGCGGCACGAGGCGCTCGCGAAGAACGCGGCCGCGCGGCACCGCGAGGAGCTCGCGAGCCGCGTCGACGCGCACGCCGCCGAGCTCGCGCGGACCGAGGCCGAGCTCATCGCCTTCCACGAGGCCGAGGTCGAGGCCGCGGCCGAGGGCCACGCGGCGGCGCTCGGCGACGAGCGGCGGCGCCACGCGGCGGCCCTCGCGGACCGCGACGCCGCGCACGCGGGCCGCGTCGCCGCGCACGAGGCCGAGGCGGCGACGCGCGCCGAGGCCCACGCGTCGGCCGAGGCCGCGCTCGTCGAGGCGCACGAGGCCGACGCGGCGCGGCGCGCCGGGGCGCACGCGGCCCGCCTCGCGGACCGCGACGCCGCGCACGCGGCGACGCTCGAGCGCCACGAGGCCGCCGCGGCCGCGAGGCTCGACGCGGAGCTCTCGCGGCGCGCGGCGAAGCACGCGGCCGCGCTCGCGGACAACGAGGCGGAGCTCATCGCCTACCACGAGGCCGAGGTCGCCGCGCGCGAGGCGGCGCTCGCCGAGGAGCGCGCCGCGCGCGCCGCGGCGGCGGCGGAGGCCGGCGCCCACGCCGCGCGGCTCGACGAGGCGCGCGCGGCGCACGCCGCGGACGTCGACGCGCGCGTCGCGGCGCACGCGCGCGCGCTCGCGGACCGCGAGGCGGCCCTCGAGGCGGCGCACGGCGACCGCGTCGCCGCCGAGGCCCGGGCCCACGCGGCGCAGCTCGAGGCCCTGGCGGCGACGCACGCGGCCCAGGTCGACGCGGCCGTCGCATCGGCGAACGACCGCCGCGCGGCCGCGCTGTCGAGCCAGCGCGAGGACCACG